ACTTTTCTTAAAATAAAGTAAAATGAGCTGGGGATATAGCTGAGTGGTAGAATCTCCTAGGCTCAGTCCTCAGTTTAAAAAAAAAAAATCCTTGTTGGTAATAGTAGAACCTACTTTATCTTTCAGTCTTTCTATGCCTCAGATCTTGCTCAGGGGCTCGCTCCGGGCTGGATCAATGTGTCCCCAGTACACAACATTCTGGAAGATCTAGTTAAGCTCAAATGCCCCACAAGGACCTGTGTTTTGTACATTTCCAGAACTGAATCACCAAGCTTCTTCTGGTTCTGTTCTGTTCTTCAGATAACAGAAATTGCCTTGGACGGGAGGACTGGGGTGCACGCCTCTTGTGTGTTTGCTCACTGTTCAACACCTGTTTATTATCTGCCTGAGCTGTGCCCGGCCTGGAGATGGGGATGACTGAGACAGCATTCCTGGGCTCACAGTGCAGGGAGGAGAGAGAGAGAGGGAGGCGGGGGAGAGAATCCAGGCTGTGCTCGGGAGGCTATGAAGGCTGTCTCCTCACACTGTTCCAGCAGCAGGCAGCCTCTTCTCATCTCATACAACTGTGGGGTGTAAAAGCTTCTGAGACTTTGTTTTTGTGGTGGGGACTGAACCTAGGCCAGGGCCACACATCGTAAGCACACACTCTATCACCGAGCTCATCCAGGCCTCCCTCTCAGCTTGAAGTCTACCCCTGGTCAGTTCTCACCACCACTCCACTTCCCTCTTCTTGCTACCTTTTGTTTCCAGCAAATGCATGCAGAAATCTGAACAGAACCAAAGAGAATCAGACATGGGCAGGGAAATGTGCAAACTGTTAGCCGACCAGAGCTAGGTGGACAGCTGGCTTCTCTCTTTTTTTTTGGTATGGGGATTGAACTCAGGGCCTTGTGCTTACGAGGCAGGTGGCGGCACCACTGAGCTAAATCCCTGGCCCCTGGCTGGCTTCTCTTACGGTTTGTATGTGTGGCTGTGATCCTAGCATGTGTGCTCACAAATAGCTCTGTGTTCTGTTATAATATTTCTGTCCTGGGCTGGAAGTTCCAGTATCAGTGATTCTGGTGTCCTACACAAAGGGCTCAATGACTTCTGGCACCTCTGTTGCTGCATTAACCTTAAAGGTCATTTTGTTTTTGTTTTTGTTACTAAGTAATGAGGATTGAGCCCAGGGCTTGCAGCATGCCAGGCAAGTACTCCCCCACTGAGCTGTATGTCCAACCCTTTTTAGTTCATTTTGAGGCAGGGTCTTGCTAAGTTGCACAGGCTGGCCTTGAACTTGTGATCTTCTTGCCTCAGCCTCCAGAGTGGCTGGGATGATAGGTACATGCCACAAGGCCCAGTTCAAGAGCTCTTGTTTTGGAAGACTAAGGTGGTGGTGGGAAAAGAATGCCGCAGAGGCAGGCATGGGGGTCAAATCCCAGCCTTGCCATTGATGGATTGTGTGATCTTGGATGACTTTGTTCACCTCTCTGAGCCTCTGCTGAATTCATATATAAAACATGAACAGTATCACCCATTTGGAGGCTTGCTGGGAAGCCTGAAGGGGATGACTTAAAACTATAGTTATAAATAACTATAAAAACTATAAAACTATAGTTATAGATAACTATAAAACTATAAAACTTTGTGTTTAATAAGGGTTGCTCATGATCCCTTCCTTAAGCAGCCCCGCAGTGTACATCTGTGAATGCCCACGTACAGCCCAGCCCCTACACTGGGTGCTGGGGACAGAGCTACATCAGACCTGGAGGTCATAACTGGGACTGGCAACTCTGCAGTGTGACCTGAAGGCTGGGGAACTGTCTTACAGGTGAGGATAGGAGGCTGAGGACCACGGAGAGGAATATGATGGGCTGGGCTTGCTAGAGCAACACTCCCTCTTTCCAAGGGTCCTGACTACATGATGCACAACTCTTCAGGAATGCTAGGCTTTCAGTGGCACTCGAGAGCAGCATGCCATCGGCATCTGGTAATCTTTGGTGGGCAACAATGGTCATAGCCATACCAGCCCAATTTGGCACTATGACTCCTGGATATTACCTCCAAAATAAAATATGCCAAGCAAGAAAGAGATCTGACACCCCTGAGGCCATCCAATCTGTCACCACAACCCACTTGAAGGCAATCTCAAAAAAGAAGTTTGAGCAAGTGGTGGGGCAGGGGACAAATGTGCGTGTGTGGGAGGGGAACACTTGTGTGCTGTTGTATATAATATGCTTATTGCATGGGTGGTGGAATTTCCTATTAAAGCACAAAGCGTAGGTCTCAATGAGGTGCCTTGAGGGCCCAAGAGAGGAGCTTTAAGCAGCCTGGGTGAAGACTTTTAGGAGGAGAAATTGTTTGGGCCCAGGATTAGCAAGTCCTCAGCAGAGCAGAGGAACCTGGGAGGTGGGGCAGCCCAGAGAGCCGGGTACTTGATGCTTAGAAAAGCACTGGAGAGACCCTGCCCGCCACTCGTCTGTCTCATTCCTGCTCACCCACAGCTGCTACTGCAGCCCCGCAGCCGCCAGTGAGGACATCCTGGCCTAAGCCCCTCTTCATCAGCAGCTCTCCGAGGGGATATTTGCAGAAGCCCCAGCTTAGAGCTGGGAGGCTGTGCACGCAAGTGTTTAACTTTGAAAGAGAAAGGGACAGCACAGCAGGTGCCTCCACCTCCACCCATCCCGGGGAAATTCAGGGCTGTGTGTGTGTGTGTGTGTGTGTGTGTGTACACGCGCGTGCGTGTGAGGCAGGCAACGTCCTCACATCTGCTGCCCCGTGACAAGGGCCTCTGAATCCACACAATGATGCCACCTGCCAGGGACAGCTGGGTGGCTCGCTCAGTGCTGACCTCATGGTTGCCATGGCAACCAAGATGGTGGCCCGGGCCATTTAGAAACACCACCAGGCTAATGATGTCATAGGTTCCCCGCAGCAGCCCATGAGACTGCAGCTTCATTGGCCCACTTAAGTGGAGGTGGACAGGACAGAGAAGGTAGACAGGCTGCTGGCCAAAATGGAGAAGAGAAAGAAAAGCCAGCCTCTGGGTGAGGGAGGAAAGGTTTTTTTGTTCCTGTGGCTCCACAGAAGCTCTGACTCTCAGGTCAATGGTTGCCCCTGACCTGACTGGGGGTCCAGCCCCCATGGAAGGAGTCTGCGTGGCCTTCATTAGATGCCATAGCGGGCATCTCTGCACCTTTTCCTCACCCTCCACTACTCTCATCATACATTAGAAGGGGAATATCGGACCGATCTGCTGCCCTGTACTCACTGTGCCCCTCAACCTCTCCCAGGAACTGGCCCCTGACTTTTCTCCCCAGGAGCCCCACCCCTCACCATCTTTGTTCTCGTGGCCTGGCCTGGCCTCGCCAACCAGAGAACCCTATTCTCCAACCACGAGACCAGCACTGGACCTGAACGAGTTGGGTCTGTGAGGGTATCGACTACTGTGAGCGTACTGGGGTGGAAGTACTGAGGAAAGAGCAATGTATTCTGGTAAATTCTATCTGAGAATGAAGCCAGGACAAAGGCAGGCAGATCAAGATTAAGAGAGCCCTATTCCTAACAGTGTGAGACCTACCTGAAGCCCGCCAGCCAGTTCCAGTGCTGCCTGCTCAGTAAGGGTTCTGACTAATGCAGATCTAGTCACAGTAGGAAATGAAAAAGCCAGAAGATCCTGATCTTACTAAAAGTATGAAGCCAGGTATACTGGCAGGCACCTGTAGTCCTAGCTACTCAGGAGGCTGAGGCAGGAGGATCACTTGAGTACAGAAATTCAGAGCCAACCTGGGAAACAGCAAAATTCTGTCCCTCAAAAAAAAAAAAAAAAAAAAA